TTTGACCAAATCATCTGATAAAAGGGGAAAATTATTCAGTTTTCAAGAATATAGGTTTTGGATTCTTGTTTTGTGAAGCTTTGGCCCACCAAATGTAACAAACTAAAATTGTGATACATGAGTTCTGTGATTGTACTAGGAAAGAATACGAATTACACATATTTCATCCTTTTCCATCTGCTATTTTTCCCTTTTCTGTTTGCTTTTAGCAGAGAGCTTCAAATGCATGACCATTCCCAAAACCCTTGTTAATGACCTACACTTTCTCTTCAATTATTATCACGCCTGTAAATAGAAGATGCTCGTTTTTGTACGGTATGCTTCGTATGCAGTATTAGACAGTATCGTTCATCTAACTTTTACATTTATGTTTTTTTTTTGGATCCAGAGAATTCTGGGATGAGACCACCTACATTGAACATCTTCCCATCTCAGCCAATGCACGTAGAGCCATCATCATCAACAAAGGTATATATCAAAACCGTTAATAATGTACATTTCTTGTTCTCAGAAGCTTTATTTTTTTATTAATTAGTTAAAGCTAATGGATTCGTTAATCTTGTGTTATAAAATTAATTGGTAGGCAAGTAATGGGTTGCTTTCTCCATCTACTAATGTTTCCAAGAAATCATCTGGACCGTCCATGGAGTCTTCTAACCCTAGAAATGATGTTGCTTCTGCTCCCCAATCTACCAAAGCAGTTAAGGAGGATTTACACACACACAAGCAAAAACTGAATAATTTAATTGGTATATTAAATCATTTTTCTTGATTGTGGCAGCGTGAGGGAAATCGCAAAGGTCCTACTTCAAGTTCAGAACAAGATGGACCAAAAACACCAGACCCTAAGGTGATCATATATTATCTAAATATAAAAACACGTATATACACGTTAACTTATATCTATACATATAATCCATTGATATGCAGATTTTGAGGAGACTTGCTCAGAATAGAGAAGCAGCAAGGAAAAGCAGGCTAAGGAAAAAGGCAAGTCTGAGAAAAATAAGCAAGAATTGATAAAATTCATCCAAAAAAGCAAGAATTAATGTTATAATAATCTTTATATATGCTCTTTATATTTTCTTTTATGTTAATTACAGGCTTATGTTCAGCAGTTAGAGTCGAGCAGAATCAGGCTTACTCAGTTAGAACAAGAACTGCAAAGAGCTAGAGGCCAGGTGAAATATTTTTGTGTCATGCCAGTTATTTTGTAATGATTTAATTTAAATAATTTTGTTTTGATTCTAATTTTATCTATAATTTATTCAATAATTTGTTTTAATAATAAATGTGTTTTTATTAGGGTTTTTATTTAGGTGATCAAAGTGTTCCTGCTGCCAACATAAGCTCAGGTACTTATGCAACTTGTATTATCTGAAAATTTCGACTCCAAAAAAAAACATTAGATCGACAGGAATTCGAATAATTCTACAAGCTATTTACTTTAAAATTTGTTTTTGTAATTAGATGCTGCGGTTTTCGACATGGAGTACGCGAGATGGCAGGAGGAACATCATCGTCTAATGGTGGCGCTTCGGAGTGCAATGCAAGATCACGTGCCTGAAAATGAGCTTCGAATCTTTGTTGACAACTGTTTGGCACACTATGATCAGGTGATGAACCTCAAAAGCATGATTGTGAAATCCGACGTTTTTCATATTGTTTCGGGCACATGGAAGACTCCGGCCGAACGTTGTTTCATGTGGATCGGAGGTTTCCGACCATCGGAGCTCATCAAGGTATATAACCAAACCCCATTTAAAGTTTATAATAAACACCACACATTAAACCGTGAAATCCTTGCAAAGCCCTAGATAGAAAGCTTTGGCATGCTTCGCTATGCTTAAAAAATAAAATGTAAAATGCACTTTTTTAACAATAAGCATTGAAAATTCAAAATAAAAATAAATTTAGGGGATCTTGGCCAACGTATTACATTTTTCCTTATAAAAATAAATTTTTGTATGTGAAAAAAAAAAAAATTATATGATCACTCCAGCATAAAAGATTTTTTTTAGTTTAGTTCTGACTCCGTTCAGGCTTGAATTTTCCTCTTTAAAAATTTTGGAATCAATAGATTGAAAACTAATAGTTCAAATTTCCTGATAAATTATTACTATACTGACCTTTGCGACAAACACTCTTAATTTCTTCGATCTTCTTCGTCATCATCAACATCTTCTTCTTCTTATTATTATTATTATTACTATTATTATTATTTTTATGTGTGTGCAGGTAATTTCGAGTCAAGTAGAGCCATTAACAGAGCAACAACTATTGGGGATATACGGCTTACAGCAATCGACACAGGAGGCTGAAGAAGCCCTCTCTCAAGGACTTGAAGCTCTAAACCAGTCACTTTCGGACACAATTACCTCGGATTCATTGAACATCTCATCAGACATGAACAACTTCATGGGACAAATGGCTTTAGCTATCAACAAACTCTCTACCTTTGAAGGTTTTGTTAGACAGGTATGTGTCCTTTTTAATTTACCATAGTTTTTATTTATATATATATATATATAAAGTTGCACATTCGGTATGTTTTACAGTGTAATCTTATATATTCACATAATAATTAATAAATACGGATGGAGACCAAAGATTAGTCCTTCGATATCTGACATAGAAGAGAAAAAAAGACAAGTGACGTGATCTATAATGAATTATATTCTAGTAATCATTTTTCGACGAAATTTCCTTCTAATTACATATATACATACGTAGGTTCAATTTTATTTTACAAAGTTAAAGTGTCTAATATAAAAGTTTTAAGGTATTAAAAAAATAAAATTTATTTATTTAAATTTTACTTATTATGTGCATTATGAATTTACATTTTTTTTGTTAAAGGCAAGCTCGTAAATAATTTATAGATATAGTAACAACGAGATTTGGACTTACTACATGTTGAGTTACAGTATCTAAAAGTTTTAAGTTGTCAAAGACAACAAAATTATTCGAATTTTCAATTTTATAGTATTTATGTTTTTATAAAGTAAAAGTAACATTTACATGAAAAATTCTTATGTAAAATCATGTTTGATATATTAAAGTAAGTTCAACTTAAATTTAAACACAACCAAACAGACTAGCGTGCCGTGTAAATATTCTTTGAAGTCAAGATGCATGCATGGTGATTATTATTTTATTTTATTTTTTTTTTTGCTTTTTTTAAAATATGAAATTAATTAATTAGAATATAATATAATAAATATGACTTACAGGCTGACAATCTAAGGCACCAAACCCTTCACCGGCTCCACCAGCTCCTGACCACCCGCCAAGCTGCTCGATGTTTTCTGGCCATTTCCGAGTACTTCCACCGCCTTCGCGCCCTCAGCTCCCTCTGGCAGGCCCGCCCCAGGCCGGAATGACAAAGAAAAAACCCGAGTCATCTCATCTTTATCTTAATTAGTTAATCTGCTTCTCCTTAAAAATCTATGTAGCTGAATTATTTTCGTTTTTGCTTTTCTCTAGAGTTATTATGTATAGATAGATAGACAATAATATCTGAATTAAAATGATTATAGAAGTAGAAAAAGTAACCTTTTTCTGCATTTCTGCTCATTTTTTCTTCATGGAATCTGAAAATTATGCCGCCATTTCTGACTGAGAATTAGAGAGGAAAAATAAAATAAAATCATTGAATAGAAAGGAGGAGAAGAAGAAAGAAGAATTCTGAATTTTTTTTTTTTTTAAGAACAAAATGGTCATCTGGCATGTATGTAGATGCATGCTTGGAATAGCGTTGATGACATTTTCATGAGGCTTATATACGAGTCAAGCTGTTTTGATGCATGTTTCGACAATATAATAAAAAAAAAAAAAAAAAAACTGAAAAGAATGAAACAACTTTTTTGGTATATCTTTATAACATGTTTTATCGAGATTAAAGTTGCTGAGATGTGTTATGTTTTTTCTCGATAGCGCTAATTTGAAATACGAACTTCGATTAAGACATACTTTGAGATGAACCCGCCACCAAAATCTATGAAATTGTCAATGGTCTTGTTGATAAATTTTCCATAATTAGGTGTATAAAATTCATTTTAGATAGTCAAACAATAATTTATTATATGAAAAATTAGTTAACACATTTAAAGTAAATATTGGAGTAAATAATGTGGAAAGAAAATAAAAATTTAGAAAAAATTTAAAATGTAGTTGGGAGTTGGTACACTAGATTCAACGCAAATTGGTTTCTTTCTTCTTTTACAACCACCTGTTTTCTTTCTTACACGTACACAAGCAGAGAGGGATCCAGGAAATGAATTTACTGCATCTGGTTTTGGCACCTTGGTTTTTGTTGTGGGTTCGAGTCGTTTTTGAGCAGAGACTTGTGACATATGGTTATATATTAAAAAAAAAGTTTTGATTCTAGAGAGCAATTCATTATGATCTTTTTATTCATTTTTCTTAACCAAGAACTCTTTTTACAGGTTATGCTACTTCACTTCTCTGAAAGAAAAACTGTTAGGTAACAACACTATGCTGACACATTTATGTAAAAAATTCAATAAACAATTAGTATGAACTGTATCGGCACAGATTCTATTTCAGAACATGTTCAAAAAATTCTCGTGATATTTGGAGGAATGTATGTAAAAATGGACAGCCCGAGGCCATGGTTTCGTGCAAGGCCGGCCCAGAAACAGTCCTCTATACTGAGAGGGCGGCTCGCACCCTCCCTCGTGGGGTGCTAGACCCAATGGTTCGAGCTGGGCGTTGACACCCCTATATAGTGTCCACCTTATCATTCTAACTAACAAGAAAGTTATGCTAGATTAATAATATTTAAATTAATTCTCTTTCTAATTGACCTCCCTAGTGAACTTTCGAACAGGGTCCTTTGAGAGCTCAAGCTTTTATTAGGTGATCAAGATTCAAGGATAAGAAATTCACACAAACAGATAATTCTGAAGATACAATTTGAAAATTTAGCTTAAGACATTTATATAGTAACAGACTTGTAACATGTGTCATCTTTCTTTTCAGAGCATGCTATCGGCTCGAGCGGGCAATCTTCGGAAGTAATTGCTGGGCACTGAAGGCATTTTGCTTCTGAATCTTGGGTGCCTTAGTAGATACAAACCTGCTATCAAAGTCACTATTTTGAAAGGTGTTATGTAAAGAAAAATTGCTGCAAAAAGGCAGATAACGATGAATACGCTGGTTGCTCTAGGATCTCTCCAGCTGAGTAGAGCATGAAATCTCTCCCCCTGTGTTGCCATATCACCAATCACTGTTTGTATCCTTCCCGCAACACTTCTAAGTCTATCGTACCTCATCCTGATAATGTCTTGAGGCCTGGATGTTGGGAAAGTGTCGAACTCTTCATCAAGTTCATCGGGGTGAACTGCCTCAGCCCAAGAAAGCTTAGTGTCCATGTGTGGAGGATGCCTTGGCCTCGACCGGTAATTCCATAAGCCTATCAGAAACATGTAAAGGAACATAGTCGGGGGGATTAATTCCGGATAGCAGATTAATATGCAAAAGAGGACATGGACAAGAATTGTGGTGACGGGCTTCTTCCATTGGCAAACTTCGACAAGCCACTTGCTTAAGGAGATTAGACCTGAAAAGAGCGAAACAATTCTGAAGAAGTTGGCTTTGCTTCGTCTCATGCTCCACATGTGGGAATCAACATCTAGCATGTATTCAACAACTTCTTTTCTCAATGGAGGTTCGGCTCGTCCAAGCCTTGAAGCTACAATGTTCATGGCCTGATATCTCAAACTGTCCAACTGGTTTACTGTGAAAGGATGCAGATAATGCATTTTTGGCAGCAATGGACGACCGTAAAGATATATCATGTGTGCTAGAGAAAGACAAGTGAATCGGAATGCTATTTGGAGTTCTCCCATCTTCTTGACTCCAGACTTGTTCAGGACAAGAAGTGGATAAGAATGAGTATAAATCCGGTCTGTTTCTAGCGTGGATAATCTGATTCTTACTTTTCCAATTCTCGAGTCATTTTCCGGCTTCTCGTTCCTTCCCAAGTGGCAGTTATCGAAAACTCCCAGTGTGATCACTGTGCAGGGATCATAAACCTCCCAAGTATATTGCTCATTCCATTTGGGATTGAAGCTTTCAACTATTGTTCTCGTTCTCACCCATTTCAGTCCGTATTTCGCCACACAATAAGCATCTGTGCTTTCTCGGCCATCCATTTTCTTCATTGGGAGAAGCCCTTGTGCACTTAAGATTCCCACTTCAAGGATTCCAATTGGCTGCTTCCACAACTCCCTAGCAGTAGGGCGTTGATCGCTGATGTACATTGTTGATTCATCTAATACATGGTAACCACCTTCAAGACAGGCTCTGATATGAATCCTTGTTGAAAACTTGTGTTCCTTCCTCCTATCTCCCTCTAGAACCCCAAAGCTGAACTTCTCGAGGTTAAACCACCGAGAATGAACTGGTCGGTGATCCAATCGTCTTTCAAAGGTGTGTAATTGCAATTTTATACCCCCAACAACCTCATCCTTTGAAGCCGTTTTATTTTCAACAGTGAGTACTAATTGCTCTTCAAAAGGCTCTGCTGCTACAAAAAAAAGGTCCTCGTTCCAGAACGGGTTAGGTGTTCTGTTTGGACATAGTTTAGTCTTTAGTATCTGATTTCCAACTTGAGCTTTTGCAAAGACATGAGGGGGTTGGCTTTTGTCTTGAGATTCTACTTCTTGTGCTTCGATTATATTGACTCTGAGATACCACAATTTAGGGGAAACATAGACCTTTGTTCGGACACTAAAAACGCCTTCTCCTTTAACTGAAGTAGCATCCGAATGCCATGCTTCTGGGAATGCTTCATCTGCTTGAGTTCCCATCCAAACTGCAAGCATTACTGCCCCTCTCACCTTGCTTTCTTCTTGACGATCCACTAGCCTATACCACTGAGGCGCCAAAGGGCTATCCGGTGGAGCCCGAGTAGGCACTTCATTCATGTCAAAAACCACCCTCCCTAGATAGTCGTCTTTCGCTACCATCGCTCTGTCTCTAACGAAAACTTCAACAACAGATGAATGAATCTTCTCTTTCGAGAACGTGAAAACTTGGTTCCATATTGGGTTTGTTTTCTTCTCAAAATGCTGTGTCTTGCCTTTATAATTCCCAAGTTTCACTTCTACATATGGATCGCAATTTCCAGTCAGTGGATTTGTAGGCAAGTCTTTTGCTTTCACAACTCGAACATAAAGATAATACATCTGTTCGACAAGATCATAAGTACTCGTGACCCTGTCACTACTAATCCACCCTCCTCCACCTCGAACTCCTCCATGTGGCCACCTCTCTCCAAGCTGGGGCTTCGTGTCCTTAATTTTGTACTCATCTTGTGGATTAGAAGATGCCTGTGGCTTCATTTGCTAACTTGTCAAGTGAACCTCTCAACGTTTATATGCGTTTTCTGCAACCTAATAACAAGATATTAAATGCTGGAGTGACTTCTAATGCACGGATCTCAAAACTATTTCCTGCAGAAAGTTTTTTATAGAGGTAGAGCTCGGTTTGGTTGAAGAATGGAGGTGAACTGTGGCCGTCTGTTGAAATATAGAAAGACAGTTTCAGCTTTGTTAAAGCAGCAAGGAAATTTGTTTTGTAGCTGAATTTGTTCATAGTCTTCGTATCCTCTTATGATTTGAGCCTTGTAAAGTAAACTTCACGATGAAGTTATGCAAAAAAATTGGATGCTGATGCTGATGCCAATGTCAAGTTTGTGCAGTTTCTTTTTTATAAAAGGAATTGAGTTCCGTTAGATATTGGAGTTCTATTATGTAGCTTTTGAAGTTGGCGGCTTTGTAAATTCTTCTTTTTCTTCCTATTTTTTCTTTTGTGGGTATCGACTACTTTTCAGACAGTTTACACACTCTTTCATTACCTTTGAGTAGAAAGACCTTTGTGTTCATAGAGGGGTCAACAGGTCGCGTCCTAGCATGGAGCCAAGCTGGCCCCTTTTGTTACTTGAGCTTTGCATGTGTTGATTTTGAGTGTCAAACATGGTTGAGACCGTGCTAAGCTACCAGCTTTCACACAACCCGACTCATCACTGCCGGTGGGGCAGCAATCGGGATGGCTCAAACATTTTGACACCTCTATGTATAAAATATTATAAATATTGGAATAGTATAACAACAGGTGTTTGATGCCTTATTTGTGATTACAAAAATAGCCTTTTTAGACTTTCAAATTTGTTGCATTTTGCTTTATGAGATTCTTTCTTGGCTTTGTTTAGAGACAAATTCAGCAATTTTTGCCAACTTTTCAAGGAATTTCAGCATTTTTTTTTCTGTCACTCTGTTTGATTCTGCTATATATATTGTAAAAATCCAATCATATTACTTGGTGCCTCTAAGCGTAGGCCGAGTACTCGATAAATTTTGGGTCGGGTACATAAATTTCTTCTTCTTGTGTTTAGTTTCTTATTAAATCAATTAAATTCTTGACGATCACGATCATTTGAGCATGGGTGGAGCTTAAAGAAATGCAGTGAGTGATAAAGAAAGATTATGGGTATAAAAACATGGTAGTGAAGAAGCTTAACCTTTATTCTTCTATCTTTATTCTCCTTTAATTCAACTTTCTTCTGCCATTATTTCTTCCTTTATCAAAAGTGAGATGAAGATGCTTTTGGCTCAGTTTCCATTTATAAATTTATTAAAAAGTAGATTTCAGTATTTCTTTTCTTTAATTCCAAACCCACAACAAAAACACGTAGCACAAAATAAGAGAAAATTGCAACATTAGTCCCTAACCTTTCATTATAATTGTACAAACAATCCCCATTGACAATAACTGTCCAAATTTTTGCTCAATTATCATGTGAGTCAACGGCAAAATGTACAACAAGGACTTGACGACAAAATGGAAAAGATTTTAATTACTTTTTCGTCACATGGATGGAGGTTTATAACATAAAAGTAGATAGCAAGGTCCTAATAAAATTTGACAAACTACCACTACCTTCAATGTTTTACACATTGATTTTAATCAGTTGGCTTGATAAGATCATGGCAAATAAAGTTTTTAACTTGTTCAAGTATTCAATCATATTTATGACAAACTCATATTTCAAAGGAAGAAGATACTATAAAAATGAATACACCACTTTAATGAGATTGCCAAGAATTTTCAATCAGAGAGTAGATGTTACAGCACCACTTCTGTTAATTCCACATGTGTGCGCCGACATATATACCACAATCAAGTATACAAGTAAGAATTAGAGATGAAGATAGACTTACTGAATCAATTATATAGTCGCTTTCTTCACACGATATGTTAGTGTCACAAAGGAGATTCTTTCCATTGTAATCTGTCAAGTGCATCCACAATTGCCCTGCGGAACTCACCATTGTGAAGAAGGAAAGACGATACATGGCCACCAGTAACCCATCTCACTTCCGAACCTGGCCAAGCCTTTTGAAGCTCGACTACTGAGTGCTTTGGGATGTAGCCATCATCCTAAAACAAATAAATGTATAATATGAAGAATCCGGCTTACCTCAAGAATCCAAGAAAATTGATGTTAGGATCCTCAGAGAGAGCAAAGCATCTACTGAACCACATCATTTAAAAGCTTAGGTTGTTAATGGGAACGCATTCGTATCTTTTAATTTCAATTATCAACACGTCCCCTCATGTACAGGCTACATAACCACCTTATCTAAATCTCAAGTTGCTAGAGCAGGAAGTCAATTATTTATTTAAGCTTAACCTTTGTCAGCATGTCACCAATAGGCATATACAAGTTTTTAATTTAATGCTTACTCTCAATATGATGTGCACAACAGTCTGCTATTCATTTTCTTGCAGTCCTTCAATCATGGCTCAAATTTTAAACACGTGATACGTGCTAAATGGAGAAGTCATTGTGATCCCATTATATGGACTACCTTACGGACACACGGCCAGAGAGTTGTTTCAATTAAAGCATAAAATAAAACCATGAGAACTGAAAGAGAAGACATAATCAAAGGAAATTCTTTCCATATATAATGATATTATAGCAGTACAAGCTAAGATTTCATAATAATATGAAACTTGAGATCAAGAAAAACATGGAATATCTAAAGAGAAAAAGTAACATTATGTTGATATAGAAAAGTGGTATGAATTTTTATTTTTTATAAATGTAAACTGTGAGATATATTTAACTTACAGTAGCAGCAACAAATATAACAGCATCAGGATTTTTGGGAATTGGGAACCGTGTGACATCTGTGAGAGACAGCACATTTCGCATCCGCTCCCTAACCTCCTCAATCGTTGTTGCAGCATTCTGAGCAGCTAGGTCGTCTCTCAGAGCCTCCCATGCAGTGGCATGCTTTAGAATCCCTTCACAGAAAGCTACAACGGCAGAGTGTGGAGAGAGAAATGGAAGTGTAGCAATAGGTGTAGGGTGCAAGGATCCAACCATAGCTGCATGTACTCCTCCTATATTTATAGAAGAAAATACAAGGTTTACAAAATGAGAAGGAATTAAGATGAACGGTTAGATACATTCCTCGAAATTCAAGTATCCTTACATGCATGCCAACTTTTCGTATAGTGGATATATAAACCAGCACAAGTTAAAATTATAATAGTTCTCCATTTCTCTTCTTTAATGTTCTTCAGATAGAAATCTGGAAAGGGTGATCGTATAAATCACTCTCAAAAAAAGGGAAAATAAAAAGAGGAAAGCAACTTTACAAATACATAATAATATACCATGCTGATACACGATTCCAAGCATTCAGAAGAATAATCCTGATATGAAAAAATATACAGTGATCAGCAAATAATGCATTAATGGATATTTGTGTTTTTGAATATGTGTATATGCACGAATACGTGTATATCTATTTATATATTTATACACACTAGCGAATATCCATGTGCATGTACATATTTGGGTTTACTGCTGAAGTTTTGGAAAGTAAAATTTGTGGTGTCTGAAATTCATATACCTCCTTTAAGAATAAAATGAGGCTCAATAATAAGAATAACAAACACTCTAAATGTTCGTGCATGTACTTAGAATAGAGAGATTCTAGTGTCAGACTTCATTCAACATTTTAATGACTTCATTTAGGTGATAACCCAAAATTTATATATGTACCAGTAATGCCCCACTTGTTTCCACAACAGTCTTCTTAAAGCAGCATTTAATGTGCTTAGCCCTTGTTTGATCCCATTATTTTCGAAATACATTTTTAACCACACATTTTTCAATAAAATAATATTACACGCAAACCTAAACCATTTCCTTATTTTTTTAACCACATATTCTTCGCCAAATCACTATTCAAAAATGCATTTTTACAAAAAGGGGGCTCAAACAGGCTCTTAGTTTGCCGGACTTCTTAGGTGTCATGTAGAGAAATCCCATCAGTGCAGCAGGATCAAGGTAAGATCTGAAACTTACCCATGCTAAGTCCACATACACCCATTTTGCCGAACCCTGCTTCTGAGTCTAACCAATATAGAAGACTACGGGCCTCTTCAATGGTGACTCTTCCTAATAAGAGTAAGTCGCTAACACACAAAAGTTTTGCACCACGTTGCAGCATTGGACGTCTTCTTCCATAGAAAGGGCTGCAACAACATATTTAGCTTGAATTAGGTCCTCATAACATGAGAAAAGTCTTCAATTTGTTTAATATTTCCATGGCAACCTCTCGAGCACCATGGTTGCTATGTTTTCCTTCAACAATGGTCCACCAAGACGTAATCTCCGTTCAAATGTATGGTCTCCAGTGCCTAAGAGGGAAAGAAAAACATTAAGCTCATATGCTCAACTTCGATTTTTCATTTTTTAAAATAATCTTAGACAGTAAGAAAGAATGCTTGGCACACTTGTTTGACATCATTATCATAATAAATAAAAAATCCAGTCGTGACCAATGGGAACAGATGAATAGTTAACTTCAAATGATTAATATATCTATAGTGTCAGAATTTCATCAGAAACAATTTATTCAATTTCAATACATTGCATTAGTATCTGTTATCTTATTTTCTGAAGCAGCACACACAATTCCAACAAAAAACATGTGGAATGGCAGAATAAGGATCATTGTTCGTTAGTCTCTCACTCATTAGTATCAGACCCAAATTGTTTCTTCTCATCCTTCTGTATCTCATCTTATTTCCTGCAGAGTACTGGAACTCTGAATAATTATCTTGAAAGGATGAACTCTAAGCAATAGGTTACACCTACATGGGACTCTGACAACTTGAAAAGGGTTATCGCAAACTGCACTTCTAATTGTCCTCATAGCCAGAATTTAAAATTAATTAACAAACTCTCTTACAAAAAGTCAATCAAAATCTAATAATGTAACAGAGGGAGGAGCAACACTGTTTATATTTGAAAAGGAGTTGTGTAATGAGCAAGTTTATGTTTGAGAAAAGGTATACATTCCAAATGTCATTTACAATTTTGAATAACCTACAAAACAGAGTGGTCAAGAAGCTTACCCCCAGCCCCACACGCACCAAAAAAAAAGGAAAGAAAGAAAGAAAAAACACATACGCACACACCACTCAATCATTAAAACTTGATTTTTCGAATTTTTAGGTTGCAACCCTAAAACTTCCAAAAATTTGTTAATCTATGATTCTTTTGTGGACCATTGATGTTGGTGATATTGTTGAATACTAGCCTCATCTCAATTTTCAGACCAACAAGCATGTTCTTTTGACTAAAATATGAAGAGGAACATCAAATGCATTTCTTTGCTTGCATCTAAAAACTACAGGGAAAGAATATTCAGAACACGTCAAACAGAATTGTATTGAATCTTTTGTAACTCTATGACCAGTTAGTTTAATGCATTGTAGCCCTTCCCATAAGCATTTATGTATTGCTGGAAAAGTACATTTTATTCGAACAACAATGCTATTAAACAAAGGGTTCCTCATAGGGGAATGAAAGGCGAGATGATTTCAACATTCAAAGTCTCAGATTAGAAAACTATTATGTCAGTATGACTCCAGGGTTTTTATCAGTACAAAACATTAAAAATTCAGTGAGAAATATCAACCTCAAGCAACTTTAGCAAACGGTTTTTACTTAAAGGGTGTTTGGCACCCATTAATTTTTTTTTTTTTAAAAAATTCTATTTCTTAATTATAACCACACATTCTCTAAATAAAATAATATTATCCACAAATCTAAAACTTCTCATTACTTTTCAACCACGCAATCTTCCATCAATCACTATATCAAAATTTATAATACACCCAAAATGGGTGCCAAACACATGCTTAGTTAATCAAACGTGTAATCTCATGGTAAATGGTAAACCATATCTGAGACAAGGTAAATTTAACTTCTTGAAACAGGTAAGTATTAAGCCCAGAATTTGTAAAATGCTTCAGTAGCATTTGTTCACCAGTTTATCTTCAATGGTGCACTGCTAGAAAGATTTAAAAAACTACAACAAACCATGTCATTTTTGGTTTACCCTCCCTCTTGTAACTTGCTCTGTCTATATCACTACATTCTTATGAGTCTATACAAAACATGTCTCCGCCTTCTAAATTATTCTTCCTTAATTCATTCACAATTAGCACCAACGTCACTTATAGTATATATTTTTATTTCTTATCTTAACTGTTTCAGTATGCAACACATCAAACTTAAACTGGGTACCTGAATGTCACAAAATTGTTCTAAGTTATTACCTGCAAGGTGAACCACACAGGCCATCTTTTGTGGAGGCAAGGACTTTGGAGCAAGGAAAGCAACCCTGGCATTGTGACTTTCATGAGGCAATGCATTAAGAAGTTGCTCATCACATGGTGTCCTAAATACCCCTTCTCTAAGAACAGCAGTTTTGGATTCCCAAATTGTCTTCCAAATAGGTTGCACCAATGTAGGAGGCCAATTCTGTCGTACATCAGGGAACAATTGCTTTATCATTTTCTCCAAAAGCTCAAGTTTTGTGCCACCCCACCCTCTTGAAAAAAATGGTGGACTTATCTTTGTTCTGTGCAATAATGCACCATATACATGATCCAAAACACAGTAAAGGGTTCCAAGATTAACAGTCACCATTTTCTAATCCAATCCACAACTTTATTTCGCAGGGAACCCAAAAAACCAATGAAAAATTATGTTTTTTAATCAATTCAAAATCAATCCAAATCAGTATAGAGCAGTATCAGCTCAAAGTAGATCGAATTTACAAAAGTTTCACCCAAGAATTTCAATTTATGTGAGGAAAAAAGGAAAATCTTTGTTGGGCCAATAAGAAATGAAATCTTAGGTCCAAATTGAAGAGTACAAATTGAATCAGATCTCATGAATATCAATAACAAAATATAGATCGAAGGCAAAATGCAGACATTGCAAAAAATTATACACCTATGCGCATTGAATCAAAGAAGAAAAGAGAAAAAAATGTGTGTGAGCGAGTCAAGATAGGATATTATAGATTGCAGAGAAAGGAATAGAATATGAAATATCGGGGTCTTCAATACGAAAACTGTGGGCGGAGAAGAAGGTTGAAACATGGTGGAATAGAATACTTGGATCCATATGCCACCTCAGATTATCCATATTATATTGCACTTGTAAGAGCATGTTTGCCTAAGCTTAGAAGGTTTGCTTATAATTAAATAAGCAATATTTAAAATAAGTAAGTTGTTTATTTTGGTGGTAGGAAATAACTAATATGAATTCGAGTAATTTTGTTCTACTTATAAAGATGTAAAAAGTTACTTATTCAAAATTCTAAAAGTTATAAGATAGTGACAAAATAATATCGAGTGTCCTGTTTGAATCCTTTTTTTGTGTAGGATACATTTCGAAATAGTAGATTGATGGAGAATATATAGTTAAAAAATAAGGAAAAATTTTGGGTTTATATGTAATTATTTTATTGAAAAATGTGTAGTTAAGAATGAGAGATAAAAATATATTTTGGAAAAAAATGGGATCAAACAGGATTGATGTCTTTTTTATGCCTTCTCGCCTCACATTTTTTCGCCTTTCAGAACGTTAGAACGAAAACGAGTGTTGATAGTATTTGAATGTTACATATTGTTTACCTAGCAAGATTATACTACAGAGTTTTTAATAAATTTTTTCCGAGTAGATTAGCCAAACATGGTGCTATGGCAACAATTTGCAACGTTAAAAATGGAATAGGATTGGATTGATTGACTAATTATTTATTATGTAGGCAAAGAAACCGTATATAGCTTATTAAAAAAAAGGACGAACCGCATTCTTGGCAGCCCTCACATGCTCTGTCCTGAACCTTAGTGAAGGAGGTAAATCTCAGGTTATGCCTTCAAGGGCACAGAATGGAAGGCTGCTTGTACACCTGCACTTACTCAAATGTCAAATCCATATTTCAGGATTCGAACCCTTGACGCGACAACCTCAAGGAAGGTTGGAGTTTTTCCACATTCTCCTTTTACCACTTGGAGGTGTGCCTTGGGGGCAACGTATATAGCTTATTAATAAGCAATTGAGAGAGAAATAAGTGATCATTTCTCATTACCTGAGCTTTGCGACTTGCCATTTGGTTTTTGCTTCTTATCAAAATAAAGTCACATCCTAACCTCAATAATCGAAATAAATAAAGGTTACTTGTCAACCTCAACTCTTCGGTGATTTTGCTAAACAAGGTGAATCAAACTACAAGACATTAAGGAAATTTCGTAAGGCCGGTTCCAACCAATTGGAATGTGCAGTAAAAATATTATAATGTTTTTAATATTTTTACTTATTACTTTGTTTCAAAAACTTTTAAATTTAAAAAATTAAGTCAAATATCCACTAGAATGGTCCACGATTAGGCTTATGCCCCGTTTGATAGTACACATTTTTCATGGATTTTTTCCATTTTCCAACTTTTGTAGTGTTTGATAGGCAAAATTTTTTTGAAAAAATATTTTCCACATTTTTGAAAAAAATAAATTCTTGATATTTTGGTGGGTAAATATTTCCTAGGTTTTTTTTCTTTTGGCAATTGAAAAAAATTATAGATATAATGGTAAAAAAAAAAAATCACTTTTATTGACAATTTTCATATAAAACAAAGCCAAATGAATGACATTTGGTAGGGGTGTCCAAAAGTCCCGAACCGAACCAAGCGGTTCTTCATAAGTTAAATACCCGAACGGATACCCGAATCGAGAACCATGAATTTGAGTCAGGTCTCGGGTCTAGACCAATCACTTTTATTGACAATTTATATGCAAAACAAAGTCAAACAAATGATATTCGGTATTATTATTATTATTATTTTTTTTTTTTGCAATTGGAACAAATATCACTTTAATAGACAATTTTCATAAAAAAAAAAACGAAGCCAAATGGACACCAGACTTTCAATATTTTTCATAAAAAATTTTATCAATCAAACACAATTAATTACAATTTCCAGTAAAATAATTTCTAGTCGATTTCCTGTAAAACATTTTATTTTCACCTATTTTTCACTTTTGCAATCAAACGGAATCTTGGTTACATTTATGAATTCCAAAACTTGCTCATAGTCTCAGAGTACCCGCTCTTCTAATTCGGATGGGCTTGAGAGGACACCAAGTTTTAAAGAAACTTCCCTCGAAGGACAACTTCTTGTTCCTCACTTCTCACTGCACTCGCGGTCCATCCCGAAGCTTTGTGGAGACGCCCTAACAAAACGAGTAATTAAAGTATCTACACGAGTCGTCAACCTACTGGAACTCTCATTTTATCCGAGCGTTGAATTGGTTAAGAGAAAATGTAGATGGAGTTTGTCTTTCTAATGACAGTCTTATTTGTTTATCATAGAAAATGCAAGTATTTGTACTTGGCATTCTTTTACTAACTACGTAATCCATATCTGTAAAAGAAATATTCATAACTTCCTGTGATCACAAGTTGAGATTCTTTGCATGAAGTACTAAATTGCAATAACCGAAGGATTAACGCGTAAAATAGGGTAACAAACCAAAGGATGAACCATTGCTGCAGAGAATCCTGCTCCTTCTTCCATATAATTTTATTTCCACCCATTTTCCACTTTTGCAATCAAACGGACTCTTGGTTACATTTATGAATTCCAAAACTTGCTCATAGTCTCAGAGTACCCGCTCTTCTAATTCTGATGGGCTTGAGAGGACACCAAGTTTTAAAGAAACTTCCCTCGAAGGACAACTTCGTGTTCCTCACTTCTCACCGCACTCGTGGTCCATCCCGAAGCTTTGTGGAGACGCCCTAACAAAACGAGTAATTAAAGTATCTACACGAGTCGTCAACCTACTGGAACTCTCATTTTATCCGAGCTTTGAACTGGTTAAGAGAAAATGTAGATGGAGTTTGTCTTTCTAATGACAGTCTTATTTGTTTATCATAGAAAATGCAAGTATTTGTACTTGGCATTCTTTTACTAACTACATAATCCATATCTGTAAAAGAAACATTCATAACTTCCAGTGATCACAAGTTAAGATTCTTTGCATGAAGTACTAAATTGCAATAACCGAAGGATTAACGCGTAAAATAGGATAACAAACCAAAGGATGAACCATTGCTGCTGAGAATCCTGCTCCTTCTTCCATATTAACCTTATCAGCTCCTTTTATTTTCCAATCAAAGCAATGGATTACTGCTGCAAGTGTTATATGCAACACTGATGTAGCTAGACCAGCTCCCGGGCAACCTCTACGTCCACCTCCAAATGGCACGTAGCTGAAATTCTGGCCTTTCATGTCCTCGGGATCATCATGGTCGATCGCGTTTATAGCATTGATCAAGAACCTCTCTGGCACAAATTCTGCAGCATTTTCCCAAGCGTTTGGATCACGATTGATTGCATACAGATTTACTACGACTCTCGAATTTTTAGTTATTGGAAAACCGTTGATCTTGCAGTCCTCCCTGCATTTTCGGAAGACCAAGGGCAACGAAGGGTGTAGTCGAAGAGTTTCTTTTATAACGGCATGCAAGTAAGGAAGATTTGGGACATCTGATTCCTCGACTAGCCTGTTTAACCCCACAGTTTTGTCGATCTCATCCTGAAGTTTCTTTAAGGCCTCTGGATGGTTAAGGAGTTCTGCCAGTGCCCATTGTAAAGCCACACTTGTTGTATCTGTACCTCCCAAGAAAAGATCCTGTCAAATACACATTTCTATTCAGAAACAGTTTCCTGACGAAAAATGTAATTTCTTGGGTCACTTTTACTCGTATTGAATACATATTTTATCTATATTAGCTACTCGTTTCAGATTTTCCGTAATTGCAAGTTCGGTATGAAATATTGAATGCACCTGAGAAGTATAATAAACAAGATTTTAGCTTAATTTTTCTTCCTTAATATTGTCCATACTGTCTATTTCTTCCTACCAAACATGCCATAAGAAACCGAGGATTGGAGTAGAAACAGCGTTTGAGAGATCCATGTCATAGGAACTAGGGAAAATGACCATTCAACTTCGGGAGAGGGGGTGCTCTCCTATGTTTCGCTTGGGAAAAACATATGACTGCTCCTAACATGAAAAATAAGAAGAAAATTCAATGAAACAAAGGGATGCAATGGACTAACCAGAAAAAGGCCCTTGATACCAGCTTTAGTAAGCTTCACATCAGAAGTTCTATCTTCCGAAATCCTTAAGAGAATATCCATCATATCCTTCTCTCGTTTTCCACCTTGAATCTCCATCTTGTGTTTCGATATTATCCGATCCATTAAAGCATCGAATCGGAGCAAAAGGGCTTTCACCTTTCTTCCTGCCCCAAACACATCATACTTTTTCAACAAAGTAAATGCTTCTCCTAAACTTAACAACCCTGAAATAAGTGTTATTCCCTTGGCCACTTCCCTTATCTCTGAAGTCTCATCCGCATTCGTCGAACACCTCGTGCTCATCGTCATTCTTGAGATCAAATTGTTTGTCATCGCCATAAATTCCACTCCCGTGTCACATCCCTCTCCCTCCTCCGCTTTCTTCACAAAAATTCTCAATAGATCCATCATCTCTTCTCTTCTAATATCAGCAAACCGATTAATCTGCTGCGTCGAAAGAATTTCCATCATGCATATTTTCTTCAAGAAAATCCAATATTTCCCATAATCGAAAGTAGAAAACAATGTATCCTTGTATATTTGGTAATCCGAGGAACCAAATTCCGGCCTGGCCGCGAATTTAATATCATGAGTTTTAAACACTTCCTTGGCTATGGCACCATTCGAGACAACATATGAAGTGGTTGAACCCGCACGAATAAGCATAAAAGGCCCATATTTAGAAGATAAATTCTTGAAGGAAATGTGCAAGGTGGAGCTTAGCAAATGCAAATGGCCGATCACCGGCAGCGCTGTGGGGCTCGGTGGCAATGGAATTTTTTTCTTGGAATTTGCACTCTTCTTGATAAAGGAAAGAATCCCAACAAGAAGTATTATGCAGATGGGGAAAAATAAGTACTGAAATGGAGAATCAATCGTGATTGCCATGGCTGATATGAAGATGATTAGGCTTACAGATAATACGTACATATATATGGTGAAGGATTAATAAATTTAAGATTATGTCATATTCATTGTACTTCAATAATAGTAATATGTAATAGCCATTGTTAGTAGTTAATTATATCATTAGTGGAAAAATAATAATTTCTGGATGAACCCTAAGCAGAAAAAGACAATTTGGAGATTGTTTATTGATTCCTTTCCATGCCAAGGCATCTTTTTGTGTTGTTTTCACGTTGCTAACATGAGATAACAAGTTAGACATCATATTCTATCATAGAACATGAGGTCAAACCTGATGTTTACCGCTTGCAAAATAACTAGTACATTAGGCTTTTATTTCTGATGCAATAGAAGTATGGGAAGAGCCGATGGAATCTAACATGTACCGCATGCACAATAACTAGTACGGTACGCTTTAATTTCTAATTTAATAAAAGTATATGAAGAACACAAGAGCTGATCAATTAAACTCCTTAATTCGCGTCAAATGCCTAGAATTAGATCAAAAGAGCTAAAGGAACTGTATTTTGGGACCTCTTGGCCGTGCCTTTCATTTCTTGTCCACCTTCAGGTGGTCAAGTCGAGAGTCGAACAGGATATAAGAAAGAAATAAGATTACAGGAAAATTCAGCTAAAAAATTGCATTACAGGAAAATTAAGCTTAGATTTTCATAATATGTAATTCTTCAGCCATATTTTCTGCTATTGTGCAACACCAGCAGTTAGTATATTACCTAAATAATTTTCACAATAAATTTAAGTTGACATCATGAATTATTATTTATTAATTGACATGTTTTGAAATTTGAACCCTATTATTTTGGAAAAATATATTTTGAAATAGTAAATTGATGAAGAATGTGTGATTGTAAAATGAGGAAAATTTATTGATGTAATGGAAAATATTATTTTATTGAAGAATAAGTAATTGAAAATAAGTAGAAGAATGAAAATGAAAATTTTAACATAGCTCAAACACGAGCTTATATAAGTAACAAAGTTTTAATCTACAGCCTTTTGCTCTATTGAGACCTCGTCACTACTGAGAACATAATCCACATAATTTGACCCAATTCTTTCGTACAATGATCAGAGAAAGAATAAATCTAACAGGCATGTGAATATGTCCATATAAACAAGAAAAATGTAATGCCTTTTTATGAACAATACAAAACCATCAATCATTGTCTGCATAAACAGCAGCAGCAAAATTCAGACTACAACAATTATTACTGTAATCAGATTACATCAATGAAGTGAGTATCATCTAGACATGAACCTCAAAAGACTACGCTACATAGCAGAATTAAGGATATAGAGATATATCTAGTCAAACCTGGGATTCTGATCATCAAGAGATGATCATATCCATCCAATGCAGGCCAGTTGTTCACTCCTTTCCTGTGAAATCCCACCTCAACCTTGATTGAGAACCTCAAGATAAATTTGGCCAATTTACCGCATCGACATCAAAGTCCGAACCCTTTTTTCCCTCTCAGCCTTCCTAGCAGAGGGAGTCCTCTTCAGTTTTCGCAACTCCTCCATCACTACTTTCTCGACCGTGTCAATTGAGTTCAGCAACAATTTCTGAGGAGTTGAACAGCCCGAGTCTTCATCCTTCTTATTGGTGATATCAAGCAATAATTTGGGCACCTTACCAATCGATGCTGTACAACGACTACTACCAATGATTGGCTTCGGAGAAATCATAGAAATATTGTGCTCGAGTGAAGCAACTGGTGTAGATAGAAAAGGAAAATGAACTGGCTGGTCCTGGAGAATAGGACTCCCAGTTTGTAGGCCTTCACCTTCTCTCAAGCGAGATCTTCTTTCTATTGCCTATATATTTATATATATATGTATATTAATTAAATAAATAACTATTATATTCATATAGACATGAATTCATTTTACTCCGAGTAAAAACCAAACGTTTATATAACCAAACATTAATGTTCTATAATGTCGAAAATATTCATATAGCTTGACATATAGTTAAACCTCAATCTTAACATAATCTATTCTTATTTTTCAAATAAAAAGCCAATAGGTCCGCCAATTATCACTTCAACAGTTTCCCAGAGGTTTTGAATCAATTTTTTTCACTAATCAAAGAGTTATTCAAACTGGGTTCCTGTTTTTCTAGTTGAGCACATTGGTTCGAACTGATTCTTATAATATTAACACTAAAACAATATGCTGTACAATTTTGGCTACAATAAATAAATATATAAATTAGGTTCCAGATAATATAAGGAAATAGGAATTACTAGTACACTGATCTAGCTGCACTGCTTATTTAAGGAGATCAGGCATTGGACACCAAGCTTTGAGTTGACATGTGAACTGGGAGGAACCCATCGAGGACAATGTAACAAGACAAGAATCTTGAAGCTTAAACATTTTAATCAGTGAACGGCCAATATAATCCATCTCAAAAGCAGTGATATAAACTAGATCCATTCGCATGATTGATAAGACACTTCAGGAAAAAACCTATGTGCAAAACGTTAGTCATATTTAATCAATTATCAATCCAAATCAGCAACAAAGTCAAAAAATATTCAAATGTGTTTATGCTTGTGTACCATGTGGTTGAATACACAAAATGAACCAAAATAAAATTTCAACTATCCATGACTCAAGATGAATGCACAAATGCAGAATAGAATCATATAACTAGACAATATGTATAGATATAGAAGCAAAACTAGGTCTACAAATTGATTGATGGAATCAGAATAAGTGATGGCTCTAGCCCAAAACCCCCTGATATAGTTTAGCTCAGCAAACCTTTGATTTTGAGAACAAGTAGTTGGAACTATGATCTCTGCCTGCTTATTTTGACTAGATTCCTAATTTGTCCATTTACGAATGTGTTCTTCAAATTGCTGCTATATGTCTCTAATTTCTGTTAGAATGAACTGCCGCAGTACTGTTATTGATTAATAACAAAGATTTATTTTATTGGATTGCCATCCTATGAATCTCAATTTCAACTATGCCCAACCTGAGAGACCTACTATGCTCGCACAAAAGAGGGATTATAGTTATATCCCATCATAATAAACATGAAAGGAGGTATCGTGTCAAGACTGAAGACTATCGTTAAACTGCAATCAAGCATAATCCCATCTAAAAAATTCAACCAAAGAGAACCAGATGATTAACCAAATCCAAATTAAGTAAGATTGAAAAGTGTACGGAATTAATCATTACCCTAACGACGGAAGTGATGTCACGGAGCGGAGTTCTTGGATACCAATAAGGTAGCACACTTCCACGCCCTCCCCGTCCACGTCCTACGTTTGGAGAAACATTTTCTTGGCCAACATTCTGGCCCTGCCGAATTCCTGGTGTTCCCAGAATACCCCTCCTACGATCACCACGACCACTTCTTGAAGCACCAGCACTAGCAGCAGCCACGCCCACTGTTCCACGTATACCGGTCATCATTGTGTCCCTCCATCTGAATGGAGTCCCACTACCTCGTGCCAACTCAGGCTCATCTTCCGAAACAAAAAATACAGTATCACCCCTACCTGCATTTCCGCCCAAAGTGATTGACCTCAACCTTGGTCTGTATGTAGCTATAGGGTGCTCTGCCCTCGATAATCTGTCTCTTGCCTCCGGCATTGTAGCAGTAATCTTCATCGACAAGAAAGCAAAATAATAGAGTATTAATAACTCAATGTATAGTCGGTATGATAATGATGCAAGAACATGACGATTTAGAGAAACCCAGAAGAGGAAATATGACTTTACAGCGACCCATAAATGTGTCTTAGACAGAAACCCAAGTTTATATTGTGAACTAATGGAGGGTTCATGAAAGAAAATAACAATTATCAGTGTCGCGGATCGATTGAACTGGCATGACGGCATTTGCCGGCGACCCAAAAATGTATCTTATAACAGAGAATGAAGTTTCTCCGGTGAACAAATGGTGGATTCTTGCAAGAAAATGACAGCTACCCTGTGTTACAAATCGGATTATAACAATAAATTAGGAAACGTCCCATCAACCCCGTTTCACATGAAGTCATTTCCCGACGACCCTTATCTCATTTTTCATATTGACAGAAAACCAAAACAAAAAAAATTCCGCGTACCTTGGAAGTTTCTTGGGGTTAATTTTCAACGACCTTCTTGAAATTGAAGTGTTTCTTGTAATGTCGAAGGTGATAGTGCAACAATGTAATTCAATGGCTGTGCATCTCCCTATCTCTCTGTGGAGGGGGCTCTAGAAGGATTATAGAAAGAGAAAAGCTCGAAGAGAAGTGAATTGGCAAATTTCAAATGAAATTTGGGCGGTACTTTATACACTGAAAATTTTCAGTTTTCACAAAATCGAAATCTTGATACCCAAAAACGATGTCGTTGAGGGCGGGATTAGAGTAAATTCTGAATATATTTCAAATTTCAAATTTTGTTGATTTGCATGGTGGTCAAAGTAAAAGTAACGAACTTGGAATTTAAGGCCATTTTTGGTCCACATTATTTTTTTCATTCTCATTCTTTTACTCATTTTTAATCACACATTTTTCAATAAAATAATATTTTCCATCACATCAATAATTTTTCCTTCTTTTTCAACTACATATTCTCCATCACATCAACAGTAAAAATGTATTCTTTGTAGGATAAAAGAACAGTAAAGTGCAGAAAAACTTATCAATAGATCGAGTCTCGTGACAGCACGATGTCCTAAAGCCAAATTGCCCGTCGATAACTGCTGCGACCTCTGTGGACAATCACCTCCAGGATACAACGATCAAAAAAACCAATTGTGCAGCAATCACAAAAGGTTTTCAGAACTCTCAAGTGTACTCCAGAAATATNTAACACTTGGGATTTGGTGAAATTACCTAAAGGTAAAAAGGTGGTTCGTTGTAAATGGGTGTTTAAAAGAAATGAAGGTATGTTATGGATTGAAAATGCTAGATACAAGGTTAAATTGGTGGCAAAAGAATATAGTTAGATTCCGGGTGTTGATTTTACAGATGTGTTCTCATGTGTTGTGAAGCACGGGTCTATTCGGGCTTTACTTGGAGTGGTGACTAGTAATGACTTCGAGTTTGAGCAGATGGATGTCAAGACATTATTCTTACATGGAGAACTTGAGGAGAGCATCTATATACAACAACCAAAAGGGTTCATAATTTCAGAGAAGGAAGACTATGGCCCTGTTTGAGCCATATTATTTTTTTCATTCTTATTCTTCTACTCATTTTAACCACATATTTTTCAATAAAATAATATTTTTCATCATATCAATAACTTTTCCTTCTTTTTTAACTACATATTCTCCATCACATCAACAATAAAAATGTATTCTTAACTTCAAAATGTGCACCAAACGGGGCTTAAGTATTTAACCCTATGTTTGGTAGGCATTTTTGTGGAGAGAATACATTTTTTTGGTGGAGAATATGTGGTTAAAAAAAAGAAAAGTTATTTATATTATGAAAAATATTATTTTATTAAAAATGTATTGTTGAAAATGAGTAAAAGAATGAGAATAAAAAATATAATGTGACTATTATAATTAGGGACTCTTTGAGCCCCAATTTTTTTTTTTTTTTTTTTGTTTAAAATGCATTTTGAAATAATAAATTGATTTGAATTATCTGTAATATTATTTTATTAAAAAATGTGTGGTTTAAAATAAGAGGGAGAATTTTTATTTTTTTAAATGGGAATTAAAGAATGTCTAAACAAACTTTTATTACTTTGCTTATAGCTCTGATAGAGAAAATGTTGCAGTTGAGGCCAAACCTATAGGAGATATAATTCTCCTATTATTTTTAAAATACATTTTTTTTTTATCTTCTTTGTGTGATTGAAAATATGTATTAAAAAAAAATTTTGAAAATAATAATTGTCAAACATGGACATAATATCGTGTAAATTCTATTTTAATTGAATTTTAATTGTTACCGAACAAGTCCTAACTCAAATTCTATATTTTGGCACATTCAAACCCTACTTTTCTGTTCGGTAGCACCGCAGTCCTCATTGGACAGAAGCTGTCCAATAGGACTACAAAATAATGTCACGTATGACAGTAGATGCTCGAATAATTCTTGTATCATACGTTTGGTGCACAGATTAGACAGCATTGCACAAAACTTTACTCAAGACGCAACCTAAGAATTATGTAGATAATCTATTTCCTTTTTTCTTGCCCAAGAGATCAAAATGCCTTCACATGAGAGGATATTCAGGACAAAACTAGGTAATAAAAGCTAGAGCATTGAATGAAGAATTAAGTAGATAATCTATTTCCTTTTTTCTTGCCCAAGAGATCATAATGCCTTCACTTGAGAGGATATTCAGGACATAACTATGTAATAAAAGCTAGAGCATTGAATGTTAACCAAATCTTTACAACATACTTTACGATACTTTACCACGATTTGATGCAATCGAGATTTTCAGAAACTGTTCTCATCCTAGGCCGAAACTCAGGATCCATTTCTGTGCAACTAAGTGCAATATGGAATGCTGCAACAACTTCTTTCTTCGCATGAACCTCGTGCAAAAGTGCAGGGTCTATAATTTTAGACAGTGGTCGTTCTTCTTGAAATATCTTCCGAACTAGGCCTTCTAGCCCCTTACCATCATTGTCCGGTACCCCATCTGGGGCTCGACCAGTTAGAATCTCCAAAAGCACGATCCCGAAAGAAAACACATCGCACTTTTGCGTGAACTTACTACCTGCAACTTGAGCTTCGGGTGCAATATACATCATTGATGATGAAGATGAACCTTTTGGACTTACTATGGCTTGGCATGGATGCTGCTTTCTGGAAGCTGAATTCAGGGATTTTGAGGCACCTGAGACAAGACGCTTTAGTCCAAACCCAGATATATAAGGTTTTAGGTCGTCATCAAGAAGGATTTTTGACGATTTTATGTTCCCATGGATATATTTTCTCGGACTGCACTCGTGAATGTGCATTAGACCCTTTGCGACTCCTTGAGCTATCCTCAATCTTACTGCCCACGAGAGTGGAGGCAGCGAATTTGCAGGTCCTCCTGTAGTTCAAGCAACAAAGTAAAATAAGAAATCTCTTACTTTTTTCGCTGTATTTCACAATGGTCGAAGTTCTAATTGTAACTACTAACAAAATAAGCCTTGTTATCAATAAATTTGGGATCGGCTGAATGAATATTTTTTGCCATTCCCCTCATTCCAGTGCTATATTTACTCAAAAATTCAAATATCTTAATCCTTAGCAATAACACTGTCCTATTTCTGATTTACCTAATAAATGTGTTTGTCTTGTCTCTGACCAATTTGCACGTCTGACTCTTCATTGAAGTCCATTAATCTAATACAGTAAAGAACCCTAAATACGGGTCGTGTCGGGCTTCACGAAGCATCAGCCTAAGGTTTTACTCCTATCAATTATGTGCACCCTGTCCTTCACGGAATCTTAGCACATAGGATATTAGGACCACATACAAGCATGTGAGGATGTAACTCAACACTGTCCAAGAGGCATTGCATTAGGAAGTTCAAACTCCACATAAAACATCACATCTGATTGTTATTTGAGTTCTATACTAGAGACCGAACTCTCATTTTTGTTTCCGTTGAGGTACTCAGTTTACCTCAGTCCAAAAAATATAACATGGCCAGCACCGCAGAAGCCGTTTGCTAAACTTAGGTTTGCTCTGTGTACATGTTCTCGGTATTGAACTTCACCTAAAAGTTTAAGGCGAGGAGACAAAGGGCATTAGCATCTTGATCGTGCCACAACATCATCAACGAGGACTATTAGTCTATTGCTTTGCGTGGCTGCTTCGTTGAGCAACGCCACGGAATCAAGAGCTCCAAATTGGCTATTTTTGGTAAGCAGAACTGGCAATACGAGATGAACCAGAAGCCGGGTTACGGTGCCCACCTGCACGCTAACCTAGATCCCATAAAAGGTGTTGGTCGATTAAGACAGCAGGATGGTGGTCATGGAAGTTGAAATCCACTAAGGACTGTGTAACAACTCACCTGCCGAATCAACTAGACCTGAAAATGGATGGCGTAGAAGCACGCGACCTATTCCCGGCCATTATAAAATAAACCAAACACACAAACAAAAACAAGAAAATCAATCAGAAAACTAAAATTTACAGCAAGAAATTTACTCTTACCATGCAATGCGGTGTACAAGCTTCCATTGCGAATAAAATCAGAAACCAACAATTTCTCATCACTGGCATAGTAATAAGCCCTCAACTTGACAATGTTGGGATGGTGGACCCTACCAATAGCCTCCACCTCGGCCTCAAACTCCTTGAACCGCCTCGGGTTGTCTCCCTCACTCAACCGCCGCACTGCCACCGCCACTGGACCACCCACCACCTTTGCTCCGCTACAGCCAACCACCACTTTGTACACTATCCCACTTCTACTTTTGCCAACCACATAAGCTGAAGCCCTTAACAAATCCTCTAATTCCAATTCAAAACCTTCATCCACCACAGCAAATTTACCCTTTTGCTCCTCCTCGGACCTGACTTCGTGACCCACATTTTCTTCATTTCCAGTTTTGCCGTCAGCCGCCACCCTCCATTTTCTCCTAACCCACACTGAAAGAAACCCCAGACCAGCCACAGCAAAAACCCCAAAAATCACAAAAAATGTAACTGGCCCGATTTTTATTTTCTTACTCTCCACAAACCCATCCGACGAAACCCCCGGATTCTCGGGTTTTTGAGGGTTTGCGGAGAATCTTGGATTATGAGCTTCTGGTATTGTACATTGAGTGTTTAATGGAAACCCACAAAGATATGGATTCCCAGAAAATGCAGTGGGTCCCTGGTTCAAGAGTGAACCCACCTCAGGTATTTTCCCGGTGAGGTTATTCTGCCGGAGGTCCAGGCTGAGCTTAACCGGGAAAATGCCAAAACTCGCCGGAATCTCACCGGAAAACTCATTGAATGAAAGATTTAGAGTCCCTATCAAGTGGGTTAAGTTACTTAAGCCCTGAGGTAGTGAACCATTGAGTTTATTTGAAGACAAGTCAAGGTGAGTGAGGTTTTGCAGGGTAGTGATCCGGTGTGGCAAAGGCCCATAAAGAAAGTTCTCCGATAGGTCAAGAAAAGTGAGGAAAGAAAGTGCACCAATCTCTGATGGAATATAGCCCGTGAGGTTCTTGCTGGAAAGATCAATGGAGCTAACCTTATGGTGGATGTCATCACAAGTGATTCCAGCCCATTTGCATGGGGTTGAATATGAGTCAACCCAGTTTGAAAGGGCTTGTTTTGGATCATCTGTAATGGCTGCTTTGAGTGCTAACAGAGAGACACCATCTGAATTCAGTGACGAGGATAAAGAAATGCAAAATGTGAAGAAGAATGCAACAATCATCAGTGGTTTGAGTAAAGATTTAATCTTTTTTATCCATAAAGTTTCCATCTTTGCATGAATTACAGAGGAAATGAAATGAGGGTTCAATGTGGGATGGGGTGGGGTGAGGGTGCCAGTGGGGCGGGGGGCGTGAAGAAGAAGAAGACTAGTGGAGAACAGGATTTTGTTTTGTCTGAATTCAGGCGAGATGTTTATGACGTGGCTACGGAGTTTGAATTTTCCTTGACTCATAGGTTTTAATTTGTTTTCAAGTGGAATTTATTATTTATTTAATAAATAAATAAATAATATATTTTAATTTTATTGATAATATAATATTTTCTCGGAGGATTGCATGGGGATAAGAGAAGGGTTAGAAGATTTGTATGTACCTTTGATTTATTTTATGTATTGTTTGAATCTGGCTTAAGGAGAAGGACAGCCACTTGCTTACGTGAAATAGCTTTATATCATTGTTTAGTTTTTTTCTTTTTGGAGTTTTTATTTGGATAATCCAAAAAGCCTAAAATTGTTTTAACTGCATCAAATACTGTACAAATTTGCACTCTTTAACCCTTTAACCATCTCTGGTTTTGAAGTCGTCCTTGCTAAAATAGTTAGAGGGTGTTTGGTGGAGATTAAAATTAGATTTTTTGTGAATTGTGATAGAAGTTTTTGAAATGTGTTGTCGAAAAGAAGTGGGACACATGAAAGATATGGTTAATATTGATTGTTTGACTTAAACTTAAATTAAAATCAAATTTTAATCGGACCCAAACAGACCCTTAAAGAGTGTGAAATGGCTATGCTTCCAAATGTGTCAATTGTCATGTAGAACAATATCAACAAATGAAACATATTACTTAATTCGTACTGAAGTTCAAATGTTAAAAATACGGAGTTGAATCTACAATCTTTGAATCCTATTCCGATATTCACAATCACGTTTACGTTCTCATAATCCAAGCAGGTAGATTTTACTTTTAGCAGTGTTAGTGTAGCTGTTTCCACACCTTTCAGTAAATACACCATGTTTCGTCTCAATAAATTTGAAACTGACTATTTAAATTCTTGTTAAGCCCTGTTTGGTGCCCAATGTATAAAAAAAAATGCTACAAGATCAATTTCAACCACACATTCACACAACAAAATATTCTGAACGTAAATCCAAATTTTTTCTTACTTTTTAACACATTCTCCTAAAAACACTATTCAAAACTTTTTTTTTTTTTTTGAAATAATTGTCACCAAACAGGGCCTAAAAAAGTTTTCCAAGTACTTTTGTTAATTAAAATTTAAATCAAAATATTTGCTCTTAAAGTCTTCTTTTTTTTTTTTTTTTTTAAAGCATGGTGCAAGGACTTTGTTGTCATTTTCATGGTGTTTTACATCCCGTGAGTGCGGCGTCAGAGAATCATTCAACAAGACATGCTAGACATTCATCTTTTCAGGATCCACTCAGAGGGGTATTTACGTAAATACAAGTTTAAAAATTCAAAAATTCGACCAAAATCAAACATTAAATTTTAACTACTCTGCTAAACATTGTTATTCATAATCCACTACCATACTTATCGATAAATATTCGTCTATGGGATAACAAAAATTATACAATAGAGAAGATACTCTTCCATCTCAAGTTGTTAGGCGGCACCATATGTGCTCTACCATGAACCAACTAGGGCATATTCATAAGCTGAACTGAACACAAGAAAACATTTTGCATGTTTCCCTCATTTGATATTGCCGAGTTCAATCTACTGTACAAAACACAAACAAATTTGTCGAGGACGCACCATGTTATCAAAATAATAATCAGAAAAGCAATAAAAAGGCAAGAATTATTCTCATTAGTACATCCTCAATTCATACATTCATGGCATGCTCGGTACAGAGTAATATTTTTAAGGATGATAGAGCAGTTAAAATCTTATTCAATTATTGTCGAATACTGCATACGAAAGTACTCAACGTCTTGATCTTGAACCCCCCTTACCGGGAATGAGCAATGCATCATAATGGCCAAAGCCATGATAGAGGAGTTTAATGGGATTGTCCTTGCCATACTCATGCCCGTACTCAGCAATGGATATAAGGCCACCGCAATCCTCATCATACATGTAAACAGTGATTGGCATCCTACAATCGTGATCATCATTAGTTTCCCAGCTCTCTAAACAACAATAAGCAGAATGATTATTCAACATCCAAAGGGCATAATCCATTTCATTTTTCTTTTGGTTTGTTGGGAAAGAAAAGTGTTCACCAGCAAAACTCGGAAATTGTTAAAATAAACTTAAATAAGTAAATGCATCCCCTTTTCAAGTGTTTAAGCTTTTAGATAACATGGTTTAACTTAATATCAGAGCAGGAACAAGCCTAGGCCACGAATTCAAGTTTTACTGCCACTAAATTATAGGAATTGTAAACTATGATTGTCATTCTATACTTGATCCGACTAAAGGAATATTCTGGAACTGTTGTATCATATTCTCCAGTGCCCTCTCTCGAGTAAAAGAACAAGAAAGAAGAAGGAAAAAAAATTCAATTGTTCTTGATAGATAAGTCAAAGATATATTGTGGGTGAGTATACTGGGAAAAAAACAAGATTTATTCAGTCATACTAATTGCATATAGTCCATTGTGTGTTTAACAGTACAATCTGCTCCTATATGAAGAGACGAGAATTCAATTATAACATTAAGCATGGCTTACCGGAGAATGTGTGAAGCCATCAACAATTCAGGTTCACCTCCCCACACATGAGGCTTCCTTATTTGTGAAACATAAGTGTCAAAATCACCCTCGATGAACCTGAATCAATAGTACAAATAAAATATTGCTCCTGAAGGAAATAATTATGATAGTCTGAATAAGAAACTATACTGAAAATGTGGTTGATCATTTCCTGAAATATGTGGCAGCCGATTAATCAGAGCCTCTATATTGGTTGCACAAGCTGATAAGTTATAACTTACAATTGATGATGGTGCCAATGTCAATGTTCAGAAAGCTCATCACATCTAAGATTTTCTTTGCACATGTTTGGCTAAGATTAAAAAAGTTAAAAGTGCTTCTTCAAAAAAAGTAGGTAAAGACTTACTTTTAACAAAGTAAGTTTTTGAATCAAAAAAGAAAAAAAGTAACTAGAAAACAGCAATGGTAACAGAGCTGTTAATATAAAAAGAATCACAAAATTCAGTAGACTGACCATTCTGTCTCTTCCCTCCTCTTGACAAATTCATTAGCCACCTAAGAAGATTAGCATGCCATCGATTAGCAAACTACTACCGCAAACTTTTATAATGACAAATTTTCTTTAAACCATCTTTAAGTGTAAAGCAATTTTTAATAATCAGGAATTTAAAATAATTTTATGGGAAGGAGAGAAGCAGCAACAACTGCATTGACAAGACTTACACCATTCAATCCTCAGCAGAAGTAAAAAAAATTTACAAATTGGTGGAAGTTTCTATTAAGCCAGACAAGGCACATTTGGTAACGAAAAGTTAAAAAACGCATGGTTCCTTGCAAAGTTAATCTAAATGGTCTCAAATTATGATTTTTCCCCCAAAGTAATGTATACCTCTACTCCAAAACCATCTTTATACATCTGTTTAGTAAGGCTGCCTTTCCATGCGTCCACAACTAAAAATATCCTTGGTCTGTATCTTGGGCATCAATTATACATCTATGATCTTTTGTTGCAAGCATTACGTGTTGAAGATTGTCCTGCGCGCTTGATTCTCAGTTCATCGCATTAACTGTACGAACTAGCTAAGGATGTAGGAAGTAAGGGATATCTTGAGGGCTACTTCCCTTGAAGTTCAGGAAATTCCTTGGTTAACAATAATTTGCCCTGAATTTCGCATCATCTTCTTTTATTGTAATTAATTGGTAAGTATAAACACAATTTTACTAGTGATTATCCATTACAACAGATTATGGAGAGTTTAGGTATGCCACTAACTAGCTAGCGTTTGGCTCATGTGAACCAGAGACATCTGCCCGTCACCCCGTTGTCTCATAAGTTATAATAATTATATGTATGCATTAATAATTATCTTTCAAAGATAAATAGCCGAGCATACCATAGCTCGCAAGTCATCCGCTAGTTCCCTCTGAAGGCTCTCATTTGGAGCAGACTTTCCGGATCGCAAGCAAGCTCCATGAGCAATGGAACGAAACAAGCATCTTCCGTCTCCAGGTATGCCTGCACAGCATGGAGCAATTATGTGCGTCAAAGAAATTGAATACAAATGAACCAATAAATACAAGAAACCAATTAACCGATCACCAACAACCCATCATAATGAATCTAATCATGATAATGGTTGAACGGCCTCATCTAAAATATTAGGTATTAGAGAGTGGACAAACATATTAATTTAACTTATGTCTTCAATAAGCCCATGTGCACCAACACGATGTTTATGTGCTTTGGTACCATGTCAAATCACCTCATCTAAAAGGCTAAGCTTTTAAAGAGGGGATAGTTGTTTAAATTATGTCTTCTACAATAATAACATAATCCTACTTAGTAAATTCAGCAGCACACCAGGAAAAAATAAAAGGCAGAAAGTAAAGCCATCTATTACTAACCAATCACAGAGTAGTCAGTATACACTTTTTTCCCATGTGAATAGTGGGCTGCTGAAGCATCACAATCGCCTTCCTTATTATCCTTCAACTCAGGTGCTTCAGCATTTGCAGCTCCAGATGTTGAAAAACAAACCAATAATCCAATAAATAATCCAGCTGATGCACGGCGTTGTTGCCAAGAAACACGCCCAATGTTACATTTGATTTCAGGAATCTTTGTTTGCGTAGGAACCAAAAGCCTAAAATTCATGTTCTCATCTCCTATTGAAATATCGACATGTGTTTTACGGTAACATCTAGGATTAAATATACTTAATGTCAACGAATGGCAAGTATTCTTATGCTTGCATATATTAGAGCCAAAACAGCAACCTCGCAATGATTGGAAGTCAATGGCAGATGAACAAGAGTTTGCTTTAGAGGAATAGATGGTGGTATATTGTAATTTTGGATGCTTGCTGGAGGCACAAAAAAAGCACGAACTAAATGAAGTTTGTGAGATGACATCACGAACGTGGCTGCTCATCTGTTTTCGGGCACTTCTAATTAAGAAGGTTACATTTTTGGTACATGTTCCAAAGGAAGAGCATATCATCATCTTGGCATAGCCTCAAGAGCAAACCACAGCATAAGATACCTTATACAGAAAATATCCATCAAGCACCATTCACGACATAATAGCAATTCGAATCAATATTGTAAACCAGAAGATAATATAGAAAGCTATATGATCATAAATACATACACATGCAAGTAATTTATACAAGAAAAGCACAAACACACATCCCTTTTCTCAATAGATGTTGCTTATAGTGAAAACAACTAATCAATAACAATTAAAGAAACAGGAAAGAATGAATTTTTCTGGTGTCAATTACAATAATTAACTATAGATAACATAAAATATATGAACCGAAAGAACAATCTTCCGCTTTCATGTCCAAAAACTGAGATATGAGAATAATTCCAAATAAATATTATACAGTCACAGGCAGAGTTACATTAAGTCTATGCACAGAATCAACAATTTCTGCTGGTCTATGAACATTTATTCAATACAAAGAAAAAATATAAGGGGTTTACTTGAGAGACAATAAATTTAATATCCAATCATGTCAAATTTGTTTTACATCAAAATGTGGCACCTTTAATTTTCATAAACCGGGAGACATTTTATTTATTTGCATTTAATTTTTAGCACTTAACCACATAGATCATTTGTCTAAAAATCCTCAAAGAAATAAAAAAAACATAAATAACTACAAGAAAAATAACATTACATACAAAATCACAAACAAAGTGAAGTGAAGATTAAATAAAATTAAAAAAACCTGTCGAATATTCAAATAAAAAGGAACTAATTCGAGAAACCCAGATGAGAAAGATTATGCAGACGAACTTCTAGAAATGCGAATGAAATGAATCTATAAAATAAAAGTAGAGAATTGAGTACCAATTTGAGTAAAGAATATTACCAGGGAACTTTAGTTATAGCAAGCTTCAACAAGAAAAGAAATGGATATAGTTTTAATGGCGTGAATTTTACTTTTTAAGAAGTAATTTGGATTATCAAAAGAAGGTTTGGTGGCTTCTTCAAGCCGCTTCTCTCTCTGGCGAGTGGGGGATAATGATTCTGGTGTCCTCATTCTCGAAAACTTGAAATTTGAAGGGAAAAAAAGTAAAATTATTTTAAGCAATTTCCATTTCCACTTATGTGCTTGTTTTGTAGGGATTTTTTGGGGAAAAATTGATTCTTGAACAGTGATATGATGGGAAATTTGTGATTGAAAAAAAAAAAAAAATTATTGACGTGATGAAAAATATTATTTTATTAAAGAATGTGTGATTGAAAATGAGAATTAATTTACTGTTGAATTTGAGAATAAAAAACAAACAGGCCCTATATATAAATAACCATTTTTAAAATTTTACTTATTTCAAAAGTAAAGCAATATTACTTTTATAAATAAAAAATTCACTTTGAGAGGAATTTATAAATGAATTTTTTTTCTTAAATCAATTATTGGACTTTACTTAAAAGTGAGAAAATAGTTGTCATGAAAAAGATGTACATAATATTTGTTGAGTACATATCTTTTTAAACTTACCAAACATGTCTATAAAGATCAAAACTATGTATTGCAATTTAATTCCACAGAATGTTCATTGGATAAACTAATGGAAAAGTAAATTACTTTTGTTTTCCAATATGTTTAATTAATTTTAAAATTACTTATTTACTTATAAATAACTTCGTAAGCTTAGCCAAACATGCTTTGCATTGGTGCACCAGTAGTAGGATACAATATTTTTCTTTCATCAATATGCGTGGAAAATTAAAAGTCGTCTCTTCTGATCATTAAAAAGTATTTATTTACTCATAAATTATTTATTCACTAATCTTGAGGGGTTACTCAATTGGTTAGAGCTTGAATTTGTTCCCCAATGGTCAGCAATTCAAGTCCCCCCAGGACTACTGAGATAAATACTCAACCGTAAACTTCAAGACCATATGGGATTAGTCGAGGTGGGCGCAAACTGATCCGGACACTTACGGTTATCAAATAAAAAAAAATTATTTATTCACTAGTAACATTCTAAGCTTGACATAGGCAGAATAACTCGTATAATTATTTACAAACTATTCTTTCTTTTGATATTTTCAATTGGAGCACAGTTGTCGTTGGAAAAAGAACTTTGCTAACTCCCCCCTTATCAACCCATATCAAGTTTTCTACAGAAAACACATCTTATATTACATATTTTCTCAAATATCCTTCTATGAATAAGTAGAAGATTGAGAAGAAACCACTCTTCTTCTATAGCTCTGGGATTTCTGTTATATGCAACATTGTCATTGTTGTATTTGATAAGTTGAATTAGAAAGTCGTGCTCAGGAGTTGCTGGAATGGGGAAGAAGGCGAAGAAAGCACGGGCTTCCGAGGAAGATTTGGAAGGTAGAACATGAAGAAACGGAAGAAAGCATTTTCTGTTCATTCCTCGTTACCACAAATTGGGTAATGAAAAGGATCCAAAATTTGTATATATGTCCCATGTTGCCATTGAATACTCGATGCTTAAAAAAGAGAAGAAGAAAGCATCACCAAACAAGTATTTTTACAACATACCATTAATTAAACAATACTAAATCAAATTAAATAAGAATACACGGTACTATCTAATCCTACCTAATACTGCGTACCAAGGTTGATTTCCAAAGTTGGGGATCGTTACCCTTGCAAGATACGGTAAATAACTCAACCATAAAACTGAAGGAAATTCAAGATAAACCGAATCCACGAACATCATCATCCTCATCAAATACAGCATTTATAACGGAAAAAGCAAGCCTGCAAATTAGCATTCGCTATCATATAAGCAAGAGGGAGAGATGAGCGAATCATCATGATTAGTTAGAAGATGCTCACAATGTATCAATCAACAAGAATTCCATAGCAGAACCGGGAAAGAGCTGAGATATCCTTTGCCACTCAAAATGATTGAAAATAAACAGTGGAAATGAGCAATACTAAGGAAGGAAGGCGAGCTACTTCACTAAAAACTTATGTTTAGTACACAACGCTACTTCCTTTTTTCTTTATATTGTAATAACGTGGCATGTAATCGTTCCTACTAAACATCCTCAAAAAGCACATTAATATCGGATATCAACATAAGAAAGAGATTTTACTGGTATTATGGCATGTGATGCTATATGATATTGCACACCACATTTAAGCAAAATAAAATAAAGTGAAACTTTGAGGTCTAAATGACGGTCTAATGGAGTTTCAGACAGTTTCCCTTGTTGAAGACTCATTGTGCAATATAGTGAAAGGTTGAGAATCGACTTTCTATAGGTTGGCGATGGCGACCAACAGTGCAATTTTTCATAAGAAAATCCTCATTGGTTAGTTATGATAGTAAACAGCACTTTAAATCTCCTATAAACCATTGCAATAACTGAAACCTCAAAAGTAAGTAGAATATTTTAAAGTATTGTCCGTGTACATGAAATTATTAAAAAATATATAAAACGATAACCAAAACAATGTTGTAAAGTTCAAACTACACGAGGTGTCAGAGTCAATCTACTTCAAACAAATACCTCTTAAAAGTTTTAGTTAGGCAATTTAAGTTTCTGAAATTCAAGAAGCGAGGAGCAAATATCTAATTCTTCGTTATTGGAATAGGAGACTGATAGCACTACAGAAAATGTTCTATCCCCAAACAACAACTGAGCATTTAATAAGCAAAGAACTAAGCAAGAAGTGCATGCACTGTTCATTAATCGAAAATTCACAGAGAAAGAGTCTTGTATGAACCTGGTGATGACTAAGACGAAGAAGACTATATAAAATCCCAGCTTGAAAATCCGAGCTTTCTTCTCAGCATTAAGAACTCTAAAAACTTCAGTGACATCAATAAGATGCTGACGTGCTAGGTATCTATTAATGCAAATAAGAAAATATTAGAAAAGTTAATATTCAAGTTTATCCATACATAAGCATCTAGCATGTAAAAACAAGAAGATTGAACAATGATAAGGATTAGGAATACTTACAAGGTATTATTCAAAGGAAAAATGAATAGCAACCAAGGCTACATTACTGTTGTACAGAGCAAACTATATATGCAAAATAATCCTGAGAATATTACATAATATACAAGGAAATATGATCGGCCAACTAAGTGAAATAAATTGACAAAATGCATTGTATTCCTATTTGATTCCCTTCTACCTTCTGAATTGGTGCAAAAGATAAGAATATTAGTTGGACCAACCTAGCCTGCTTATCAATTTTAGACACTGTTTCTTGGAAATTCCTTTGTACGAACATTTGCCTACTGTCTTTCTGAAGGGACACGAGACAAAAATTTGGCCCGTCTCTAATTTCTCCTTAATGAAGTGCCTATATATCTCCACATGTTCAGTGCGATCCTACTATGGTTGACAGATGTCGGTTGTTGCCTTCTTTTAACAATACAGTCTCATTGAGTGGTTATTATCCAATCTGAGTTCTTTCATTAGAGTCTTAAGCCACAGAAGTTCACAAATCCACAAAGCCATCTATCAAAATTCTTCTTCAGCACTTGGTCTTGCCATTAAATGTACCTTACTACTATGTTACCTCAATAACCTTGTCATGCCCAGCCAAAATCTGAGTAAGCTTCTTACCTTCTATCTCCAAATTATTATGTTTTTTGGAAAGACGATTCACTTTTCCCAGACCACCCTTATGGCATCTAAATATCTTCACATCATTCATGTAATCCTCATTTGGTGTATGCCTATATTGATCAAACATGCTTACTGTAAATGCAATGGCTAGCCTAGGATGTGATTTGACGATCAACTTACTTATTTACCCAACCTGTTTATATATTTCTTCGATTTGCACAGTCCACCCCCAACAAAACAAAAAAAAGCTTCAAATCCTAGTGGCGATGGCGAGTCCAAAAACACTTCCTTCCAATTCCCATGTAAAAAGGCATTTCTACATTAGATGATGAACTAGACACTCTAGACTATAATCAAGGCTAATACGACTCATAATGTATATATCTTGGCTGGATAGATTTGTTGATAGGTGTATATTCCTTTGTGAATAACATAATCTAAGCCAACCACAAAGTCAAATCTACACAGTCAATTTACAACATACTAAACAACATGAAGTTATTTGAAAGAAAGTTTTTCTCCCCCGTCTTTGCATCTTAACAACCTGAGCCATTCAAGCCAAGCACAATAAAGTCACCAATATTATATAGCAAATCAACAGTTTCTTTAAGCAGAAAAGGGAAGGCCATATGGTTAAAAATCTCTTTTTAACTCATATCAATGATCACATCAAGCACAATATTGAATAAGGGCACATTTGACATGACTTCTGAAAAGCCAAAAGCTGCTTTTAAACTATTTGGATAACTTTCAAGAAGTGATTTGTCTAACTAAAAGAGCTTTTAAAGGAAGTTGACCTAAGTTATATAGAACCAGCGTAACTGGAATTTTACATGCAAGTATTTCATAAGAATGTGATGGGGAAGAAACTTACTTCTTCGCATTATAATAAGCAGGAAGCAGTGTCAGCAGGAACATGAACCAATGCCCTGTCACTAGAAATAGAATGCAGAATGCCCCATGCAGTAGAAACTCAGGAACAATTACAGCATTCATGCGAGATGCTAGTTCATATGGGTTCAAATAGTCAGCCTCCAAATCTGCCAAACATATAAGCTACAAAAAGCCAAAGACAATTTCCAGATGTATGTAAACGTTGATAAAGAGTACTTGATGCACTAATCACATCAAAAACAGCTTCCACGGAGAGATATTTCCAAACACGTAATAACATATGCAGGTGCAGGGCAGACCGCTTAAATAGAAATTACAGTCCATCCAACAGTTAGGAATACAGCCCAGGGAACCAATCGAAAGGGAAAAACATATTAGGAAAAAAAACAGAAAACAAAAATCTCTCCAAGAATCTCCAAGAGTCTGATTCAGAATAATTTATACGGAGTCAAACCGTCAAGCTGAAAAAACTGAGTTATTCAACTACAACTTTCAACAGAGAGATAAAAATAAAATACAGGCTGGTTGGTATACTAAAATCTATAAGAGGGGTATCAATGCCTTGATCCAGATTTGACAGACCAATATTTGCAAGCTTAGCTTGACAGATTGAGTTGTTTTCAGCTGAGGGAAAACGAGGGAGAATTCATTGAAGATATTACAAAAATACGCACTTATTTTATGTGAAAATTGGAAATAGATTCAGATTAATTTTCTTGTGGTAGTTATTAGTTATAAGTTAGGAAAGTTTTGACTTTGCCATACAATTGTCAATAAGAAGTTTAGGTTAACCTGCACAATTATTCATGATATTTGGTGACATTCATTTATTTCAAGTTCACTCTCAATTCCCAATTCTTCTTCTGTTGTTCATTCTTATTTCTCACTGCCCGTTCTGACTAATTCATGTAGGATGAGATATAGAAAGAGAAAAGAAAAGAAGAGCTGGAATTGAGAGAAAAATGTAGAGAATAACCTCAATATAATTGAATATATCAAATTCAATTATCTGCATTATGCAATATTATTTGTCTTAAATGTAAAAGTCAAAACGAAAAATGGGGCAAATATAAAATTAATAATCATCACAAGAAAATAAAATCAAAACCTACTCTACAGTTTTACACCTAGAAAAAACTCGTCTATTTGGCAAGACTTCAATGCAATCTTCGTCTTTTCCTGGCTTAAAAAAGTCCTCTTTTACCAAAGTATCATTGGTGCTGTGAAAAATAAATCTTTCTTTTCCCTGGTGAACAATCCACAACTTCCATTTTTGGCTGGAGGAATAGTACTTTGGACAATACCCTTTTATCTTTACAAAGCATACAAAAGATTGTAGCTTTTGAGAAGATCCTCTTGTTTTCCAAATTTTGATCCTCAATTATCAAAATGCAAAAATTGCAGATTGCACTCAATAGCTATGTGTTCTTTATCCCTTTATAAAAACACCAAAAGTATATTGCGTTCGCATAAAAATGCCGATGATTCTGAAAAGATCACTAATTTTCTCTTATTGTTTCTCTTTCTTTCTCAAAATTGCTTCTTCTTTTTTCCCTACAACTTTACCTTCTAAAAAAATTAACTTCAAGGAAAACCAAACATAGAGCTAATGGTTTTGTTTTTTTCCACTATAATGAGTAAATTCTTTCCTAATTAATATCGATTCTTTCTGTAATCAACCAATGCATTGTGTACAATCAATTAACCAAAAGGGATAAATAAAGGCAGAAAAAAGAAGTACCTGGTAGATATTTGCCGCCATGAGGAGCAGATTCATAATGAAAAAGATTAACCAGAGAACCCACTCCATTGTTTAAAGAATTTTGGATCTTTTTTACGCCCGCGGTGATAAATATTATACACATATGAAAGTAAGATGGAGTACTGTTCTTGAAAAGACAATAGGATTTTATGATGGCTTGTTGGGAGTGCTACTCAAAAAGAAACGGAGCCCATTCTTCAATTAACTGATTTCTACTTTTTTTTTTCTTGAGTAATTACACAAGGATTTACTTGTTTGGCTAGATCAAAATTTACTAACCCTCAGTCTGGAAAAAATTATAGAAAACCTACAATTATTATTTCTAAATTTATTATCTACTTTTTCACCACTTATTTCTATTTATCTATATATTAAATTATTTATAAATTCTTCGCAAAATGAGGCTTAACCCTTGTTTGTTTCCACTACTATCGATAACAAAATGAGAAATTTGACCCCTTTTTTTCAAAATAGTGGGGCCCACTCACTCACAAAATGGTCAACTATTGCGGCTAGGCACTATTCCAACGGTAAAAATTCTCATTTTTTGGGTGAAAGTAGTGGAAACAAACATAGACTTATTAACTAGAATAATAACATTTTTTAAGTAAGAAAAATTACACGTAAGGATAGGAGATGCATGGTAGATTACAAAGTTTTGGTCCGACCTTGTGTTTGATAAATATTTCGGTGAGACGATTCTATAAACGATATCTCAAATTCCGAATCACAACAATTTGGATACAAGATAAGTAAAAGAAAGAAGACTCGACATCCAAAAGTTTTTGTTATTTGAGTGTTTTAGAATTAACGTCTTGATTTAAATGAACATTATACTTTAGGGTAAATATACTCGTACAACAATTTTTTTTTTAACTACACCATATTTTAATTATAATGAATATCGCTAAACTATTCTTATTTTTACACATATATTCTCAATTTATTTTTTGTTTTTTATTTTTAAAAAAATCCTTTTTTTATCATTAACCCTCTATTAATTTTTACATTCAGAAATGATATTCATCAAAATGTTTGTTACGAGGGTCAAAAGACATATTTATCTCTCGTATTTTTAAGTAATCGAAATAAATAATTAATATAAAAGTTAAACAAAATATTTGTCATCTTTTCAATGCACATGATTAGAATTTGGATAAAAATCACGATTAGAGATAACAATATGTTAATTAATTGAAAGTTAATAAAGATAATACGAAGAGAAAAAAGTTGAGGGATAAAAGAAAGAGTGAGCAAATATTGGAAATCTTCAATGTGGTACAAATATAAAAAAAAATTGTTTTGTTAATATAATTACCCTATACTTTAACGTGCATATAATATCATCTCATTCGAAATATTACAGAAGGACTTCAAGAAAACTTATGAATGGTTGTAATGACATCACCATTTTTATTTTTACAATGGACACTTATTCCCGGGCCTGGAGCATAACTCTTTGTTGAATTTTGATACCCAATAAATTTGGGCAATGTTGTTAAATCAGTTTTATAGTTTGAATTAGACTTTATAGGACTCTGCCGATTATTGAAGTGAAATGTCGACACCACAATGAACGAACCACTCGGACAACCTAAGTGGACAATTTGAAGTAGCCTAATCTCATTAGTGTTTCATGGCCTGTCCCATTTACCTTGGACGACTTTAGGGTTGGAAGCCCATTTATTGGGTACTTATTGGGCCACTTTGCTTTGACCTATAAGCCCATTTTGCTTGGCTTATAAGTAGGTCAGTTTCTTTTTGTCTTGCCCTAGTGTGAATTGATTGTTGGAGCCGTAAGTTTGAGAATCGAGAGAGAGAAGAGAGTTTCTTGCTTTGTGCTTCCTCTTGCTTTGTGCTAACTTCTCCTCCTTGTTCTCTTAGCCTTAGTGGCTAGTTTGGGCTGCCAAATATCATTCACCTCACTACTTTGTGGAACTTGAAGCAACCGTTTTGGGATTAGGGGTTGGAGGATTTCAGATAGTTCATTGTAGTGTCGATTGGAGGTTAAACTGAGCTCGATTTTGGTGCGATTGGAGGCCAATAATCAACATTTGGTATCAAAGCTTGGTGGGGAATCAGAATTGAAGAAGAACCCTGGAAGGAGATCAATGAAAGAAGTTGAAGAAGACAAACATGGAAGTTTTTTAATTAAAAATCGGACCTTCTTTCTTCGATTCCGGCCAAACCAGTGATCGGACGGAAAAATCGAGACCAAACCCATACTCTGCAGGCTGAGGTGCACCTAGTGGTGGTGCGCGTGATCTCCGACGGTGGTGTGTGTGGCGGCTCGTGGGCAATTGGCAAAGGGGCGTGGCGGTGCGTGAAGCGGAATCCGACGAAAGTTTCTTCAGACAGAATTTTTATTTTGATATTTCTAACCTTCGTGTGTTGTTAGTTTTTTGTTTCAGGTACTGCAGCAAAAGTTGGACGATTTTGCCATTGATTGGTCGTCGGTCGGAATTGCTACATATATTTACTGAATTAGTTTAGGCCAAAATAGCGGCCCTAAAGCAGTAAATTCTCATCTCTCCTATTTTATGCAATGTTCTAAAATGCGTTGCGATGCGTCGAGGTCGAGAATCAAGAATCACAAGTTTAAGCGTGTTAATGCGGTGAATATGCGTCATAATGCGTTTCGTACTTTTAATATTATTTTAATACAATAAATAGATTTTTATATTTTAAAAAATAATTTTTTATATCATATCAAAAAAAAAAAAAAAATACACAATGGAACG